TTTTTTTTCCGGATTAAAAAAATTTCCACGTCCACACGTATCCGAATTCAAATCGAATTTGCCCGTCCACACGTTTCCGGCGGATTTGTATGCCTGATTCACCGTACTTGAGGACGGAAGCAGTATCCGGAAAGAAAAAGTTGCGGATTCAAAGATAGCCGGATACGCGTGGACGGGGCCTGAGTGTTTATTTTGACTCGGGAGAAGACTGAAGTTTGGAAAGCCTGCATGATTCTTTTACTTCACGTGAGTTTTTCGAGCAACCTCGTGCCCAGGGCTTTTCCTGTACTCCGCCCCTTCCATGGGAACGAGGTTGTTTTTCGAGGTGAATGAACAATAAAGAACAGAAATCTATCCATGCATTACACTTTTCTAAAAAATATCATTTCGAAGGGGCTAAATGATCTTCTTCTCTTTCAGCAATGAGGGAAATTAATTCTTCGATTAAGCTGAATATTTCAACAATACCGCCACATCTACACCACTGGAGACAAGATCAACATGGAGCGACAGTAGGGGACATTATCCAAGCAGTGTTTTTAGCCTTTGTTATTCTTGTGGGAGTTACAACCAACTCGCTTGTCTGCTTGATCATCTACAAGCGTAGAAGCCTTCGCACTGTCCTTTACAGCTTTCTTGTAAGTCTCTCCGTTTCTGATCTCCTTCACGCTGCTCTTAAGATGCCAACCACACTATTATCTACGCTTCATGTTCGTTGGTACCCTCACACGTCTTTCTGCTACATCACAACTCCGTTTGGCGTCCTTTTCGGTGCCGCGACCGTCTTCAACTTGTGCGCGGTGGCGCTTAACCAATATTTCATCATCGTAAAACCATTACACTACCCCATGGTAATGACTGCTAGACATGCTGGTCACGTTATCGCGGGCCTTTGGGCCGGCAGCTTTGCAATATCATTACCGCCAATATTTTGGCGTACAGCGGACACCATCTGCAAAAGTGGGGCTGTATCCAGATATAACTACCTCTCTGAAGTGCTGTATTTTTCTTCCCTGTGGACATTTGTCGTTCTCTTACCATCCGTCGTCATGGCAACAAGCTACACCAAGATCTTCCTGGTAGCGCGCCGACAGATATTCAAAATGAGAGAAGACACTGATTTGAAGCGCCAATTAAAGGCCGCGCGAATACGCAGAAAGGAATTTCGCGCAGCAGGGCTACTTGCTTTAGTTGGTGGTGTATTCATATTATGTTGGCTTCCTTTTTTCATCGTTCAGACGCTACACAAGTTTTCTAACGCGACGATCGCGCCTTTTTATTTTCGGCTGTTCCTTTGCGTTATGTACTCTAAATCAGCCATTAATCCCCTGTTGTACACAGCACTGAACAAAGAACTTCGAAAGTCTTTATTACAGTTTTTATGCCCTAATAGAAACCGCTCCTTCAACGACGACAGCGTTCGGATGATAAACTACCAAAATGGCGCAAGAAGTGGCGAGAGTTCTTTGTAATCGGTATAGTTTTAACCCTTTCACTTTCAAAACTGATTGGCAAAAGGCAAAATTTAACAAAATTTCCAAATTCAATTCAACGAAAACAATCAGCACCCGAGCTGTGAAAGAACTACTAAAGAGGTTTCATGAGTCGTGAGTCGTAAGTAGACTGCGACCAGTCTCTCTTTTTCCTCAGATTTAGAGAGCAATGCACGCGCTCGGGAGCGGCGAAGCTGCGACACGCGTGAAACGAAGGCGGCAGCGCCATCAGTCACGCGCGTGGCCATTTGCGTGTCTCGCGTTTTGCTCAACGGATCACAGAAAAAAGAGAGACTGCTCGTAGTCTAGAGCTTAAGCAATGACGTCGACGACGGCAGTGAAAAGGTCGCTAAAAAAGGAATTTGCGTCATGCAGTTGAATTCTTAAGGACTCTATCCAGGTTCAAAATGAAAAGAGAAAGGAAAATTCGTGGTCGTATGTTCACCTCCTCCATAAAACATTGCACCAGGAACTTGCATCAGGAGGTTTCACGTCGTAGTCGTGTAGAGCATAGAAAAATACTAAAAAGCGTGATGCAAGTGTAGAGCTGTTGTTTTGCTCATTAAGCCAATTAGCTTTTGACGTTGGCGTTGTCGTCGTCGTTCCTTTAAAAGCTCCTTATTTATATCATTGTCTCTGGAAGTGAAAGAGTTCGCTGCGATTCATGACTGATTTTGCGAAAAAAGATGAAAAAAAAAACTCAGTTCGTTAAATATAATAAAATTAAAGATGAATGAATATTTGCATTATTTGATTATTTGGGACAGATCACCAAGGACTGTTTTTCATTAAACAGAGCTCGAGTTGGCCTGTTTTTAACAAAGCTAGTCGCAAGCGTTTTCGATTTGGTCAACTATAACGCTTTCATTTTGTTAAATGTGACAAGTGTCAAAAACGCATCAGTTAAGACAAAAAAACCCAAACATTTATTTGCTTTATAGTTATTGCTGCGGAGCGACCGTAGGGAGCGAGCAGCAACATAATCAGGGTTTAAGCGAAACATATAAGGGGCGACGAATTCTCGAATTCATCACTTTTTACCACGATGCATTGCATTTCACCACAATTTTTACCACAATGCATTGCATTTAACCAGAGTGCATTGCGCCACGAACAACTCAAATAAAAACACGGGAAGTTCGCATCGTTCACTGCCCAGACTCATAGTTTTCTTTGTAGCAAATTTTCTACAGCACGGTTAGAGGTCCTACCAAATTTAAGACACGCAGGAGTCTTTCAGATGAGTACGATGGTTAACTAGGGGATTGGATTTCAATTCAAGAGCCTTTGACTCGTCCAGGTGTTAAACCTGATGAGAAAATGAGCATTTGCTCTTCGACTCCGCAACACGGGGGATATACAAATTCCAGCTTGCTAGAAGGTGATGTGAAAGTGAGAGAATGTCATGCCATGCTGTTCTTAAGAACCTGTATGAGCCGAAAATGGATGTGATTTTGACCATTCGCTTCAAAATAACAGCGGAAATCGAGATAACAAAACATATGTTTTGTGTCCTACGTAAACAAACAAAACAATAACATCAACAACAACAGCAACATTTCTCTAAACAAAACAAACAAATAACAATCAATTCGTTTTCCAGTTGTTCCCTAAAGCAAGTTTTTTGGCGGTGGGTTTGCTCGTGGGCGAATTCAACGGTTTCAATATTCCGTTCACAAGTTTTCAAAATGTAAGCTGCCAGCTTAGGGGTATCCCTATTTCCCCACGAACATGTTGAATAACAACATTGGAGCAGTCCTCTCTATACTAGAGCACGCTCTTTGGTCAGTGGATGGCGTTCCGAAAAGCCCTGGCGACGAGGGTGTTGATGGGCCGCAGTCGACCCGGGTGGACTTTTTGTATGATATTGGTCCTGTATTTGATCGATTCACAAACAAGTGAGAACGTGCCTAGGTACTTTTATATTTATTTTACTCATAGCCGGAAACTCTTCTCATGATGAGGAGTTTTATGTATGAGCAAAAATCGCTGCGTAGCGGAAAAAGGGGAAGATTTACCACTTAACATATCCGTCGCGATCGAGTTCGTGTTCTTGGTTTTATTTAACCATTACGGCTCTGAGCGTACTTGAGGTTGCTGGGGCAAGTGGGCAGGCTGACGAGTCGTCAATTTCAAAGTGGTATAGGGGTCCTCGGCCCTACGAGGGATAAAAAACAAACCTCAAATATTGTCTACCATTACTTAAGTTTTTATCAATTTGTTTATTCCCTTGTCTTACAGGATTATGATGGGTCTAAAAGACAGTTATTTTTTCTTTATACTTGAACAATACCAACCTCTATGATCTCGGATTTCTCGTGACATTAAATAATACAAGTATAACCTTGATTACGACAAATAATGTAGTCTGTTTTCAGGGGAAATCCAATCGGCGTCCTCTCATCTAGTAACCCATATTAGAGAGTAGTCCCCCTGGTTCTAAGACTGTTCTGAGTACAATGCACCCCCGTACGACCAGCTTTGGGTTACCCTGTTGTGGTAATGTTTGTTAATTCACTTAGCTTTCACTGGAAATCTTACAAAACTGTTAAAATATCTGACAACGATTAGTGATTACTGCCCTGCTAATTCGCGCATTGAATGTAACTCTCTAAACACCCGGAAAGGTAAACTAAGAAAAAAAATATAATTATCGTGAAAAAATCTTCCATAGCCCAACGAAACATAGAAGTTTTCAGTCGAACGTAAGTGATTACGGAGCGTTTACCATTTGTCTTAATGAAAACTGTAATTTTAGGATGTCCTTCACAATCAAATTCGAACTTAGACCAACTCAAATTAAATTAGGCCGGCTAAATTAATTCAGACGCGGAATGATTTCAGCCGAACTAAATTCAAAAGGAAAAAATGCGCGTTTCGGTGAACTTCATAAATGATTTGTACATTTGGTTTGGCTTAGTCCACAGCCGTAATTCCCGGCTAAGCCAGGCGTGAAGAACGGCAGAACCGAGCCAAACTCAATTCGCCGTTTCCAACTGAATCATTGAATTTGATTCGGTCCATGTGAGGTACAGCTTCTGAGACGGGTGTTAAATGTTGCCTATTAAGAGGCAACTTGTTCTTGTGCACTTGGAAGGAGCTATCATGTCTAGAAATTAGGGAGCTTCAGCAACGACGATGGCGACGGCAACGAGAACGTCAAAAAAACAATAGGCTTATTAAGCAAAACAACAAACTTGCACGTGCATCTCGCTTTTTTGTACATTTCTCAGCCGCCTCTACAAGAATACGACGTGAAAATGCCTAATTTCACGTTTTATGGAGGACGTAAACAAGCGACGACAAATTTTTCTCTCTCTAAACTTTAGTGCGGTCCCAAAGAAATCAACTCCAAGGAAATTCGCCCACTTTTGACATTTCAAGCGAATTGGCATAAACGCGGAAAAGTTTGAAAAAACGAGAATTCATTTTTAAAGTGACGTTTTCGCTGTCGTCGCCCGTCGTCGTCGGTGCTAAAGCTCCCTATTGTAATGAGATAGGAAAAATCTATTCCTTATGATCCTTGGATCTTGAGGGGTGTTCAAGTTTAAAGCTTTTTTCTGATGCGCGGTGATCACTGAATCCCTTGTTCCCTTTGTTGAAGGAATTAGGTCCTGCTGATGTAGGCGTGTCTCTGAAAAAGACAAACAATGGAGAACTCATCACAATAGGCTATTTCCGAGTCCCTCGGGCCTCTGTATCAAAAACAGGTTGAGTGGTCAGCCTTTGATATGATAACGATTTTTCATTCTCATGTAAAGAAAGTCATTTTCACAAGAACGGTTGTGCACTTGCCCTCATTTTGAAAGTGAGGGATTTTGGAACTCGGAAGTGGCCTATTTTCATTGGCACTCAATCGTCCTTTGTAATAACGGTTACCCAAGACATTCTTGGATTCTGGATTCCACCCTGTGGATTCCGGATTGTTCAACAGTAAAAATTGGATTTCGAATTTCAATCGCTAGTACGATTCTGTTTCCCGGATCACGAATTCCACAAGCAAAGATTTCTCAGATTGTGGAATCTGGATTACCTTAAATGAGACAAACTCAAAGAAATCAAATTTGACACAAACTGATGAATTCACAGTCTAATAATTGATGAGAGTAACAGCATGCTCCAACCGCATGAATAGCAGTCATTTTTCTGTTAGGGACGGACCATTAGAAAAGTTATGGGGGGCGGGGGGGGATTTTCGAACCGCAGGAATTTTTTTTCGTTGTCCAATTCCTAGTATGAATTTTTTTTAGGCCATAGCATGAATATCTTCTAGGATTAATTGGCGTGCAAGAATCTTTTTTAATTTAATGTTCCCTTGCGCGAATATTTTTTTGTACTTCGCAAGCCCCCCCACCCCTAATCCATAAGTTTTCTAATGGTCCGTCCCTTAAGGTTCACCTTTTATCATTAGTGAGCTTAAGCAACGACGACGGCAAAAAAGCAAAATAGGTTTAGATTGGCAAAACAGCAACTTTGCACGTGCATCACGCTTTTTGTACATTTCTTCGTCGTCGCTGCTGCACGACTACAACGCGAAAGTGCCTTATTTCACGTTCGGTCGAGGACGCGAACACAAGACAACGACTTTCTTTTTCTTTTCCTGAACTTTGATACAGTCTTTAGAATTCAACTACTAAAAAATTTGCCAAAATTTTACGAATTAAACGAGATGGAATAAGCGTGATAAATTTAGAGGCAGCGTGCATTCCCTTTTTAAGTGACGTTTTCGTAACTGTCGCCGTTGTTGTTGCTTGCTCTCTATTCTTAATTTGTCAGGTTTCATTAACAATATTGAGGTCAATTTAATAACACTTTAAAAAAGTAATAATTATTTATGAGTGTAAAATGTAAAGAATGAACTTTATTGATCCATGAACTTAAAACATTTTGCATCATTATCCCTGAAGAAATTTATTTCTAATAATCATGCCATTCTCAAATAATATTGGCTGCATATTTCTTACTCTACCTTCCAATATTTCGCATCTTCATTTTGGCTTCTGCTGGCATTTCCTCTTCCTCGTCACTCTGACATAACAAACAAGCAAGACATTTTGAGAATGATATGTCAGAAATATCTTATCACTTGGGCATAACAAAGGAAGGACTTTGGCTGCTGCAAATGTAACTGCAAAGGATTTCAAAACTTGACAAGGATGCTTTTTCATGTGCTTGTCACACGCACCCAACTTAAAATTCAAAAATAGGAGCTGTTTTTTAGGATCAACTGAATGCCCTTATTCATGGAACAAGTCTGTATGAAAATCGATTCCTCTCTGAATTTAATTGATAATGTGATCACCAATGACTGTTCCTAGTGGTCATATAGGCTGCTTATTTGATGCACATTTCATCTATGACCTAAATTTACTGCTAATAATAACAACAATACTATCAGAGTTCCCACTAACTCACAGGTGTGCATAATATCCACACAAAAATGAAAAGGAAACACAGTTTTTTGCCAAAGTGTAGCCTTGGGACGCAGGAAAACTGGGTCTGGCTGGCCCTACCCAAAAATTTGTGATCATCATGGCATGTCCTTAAAGCCCCTATTTTGTCTCTCGTTGGGTCATGTCTATACAAAAGAGTTTATTCGATATTGCCAGGCCTTCAACATTGAGGAAACCTGAAAAAAGGAAACCTGAAAGTGATACAGATCAGGGGGATGATACCCAGGTGAATGAACACAAATTTTGTCCTAAATGGCTGGGGGAGTTTCACTGGTTAAAATATGATTCCACTGCAAAACAAATGAAGTGCAAAGTTTGTCTTGAAATCATGTGTATGGCTGAAAACCTAATCCTTCACAAAATTTTCTGCATGGAGCAAATAATTTGGTCTTGATTCTTGCTTCTCTGTTGAATACAATAACATTCAAATTTTTATTGATGATGATAATGTAGTAACAACGGCAGGGATAATGACCCCCAAAAAAAAAATCAAAAAACAAAATAATTTGACCCCTGAACTTTTTTTGGAACTGGGGTGATCCAGTGGCTGTTGTTAAACAACACTTTTTCTTTAAGTCTTTGACAATATTAGAGTCTATTTCTAATTGTCAAAACTAAAAGAAAAACAAAAATTTATACCTAAGATAAAATATTAATTATAACATATAAATAAGTACAACAATTCTCATGTTTGGCTAGTCTGCTACACAGTCATTTTTAGGGTCGTCACGCAACAGAGTCATTTTTAGGGTCGTCACGCAATGCTCCTCCCCAAGTTGTTTGAATCAGTACCCTTGAGAGTTTAGTCTTCACATGTACAGCAACACAATGAGCACATCCAGAACATAAAATTCATTATACATATGCATGTTAAAAAAAAAAAACAACAACCAATTCTGGTAAGAGTCTTGTAGGCCTATCAAACCTTTTTTTCACTTGAAACTTTGTTAACTGCTTACATTGTAAAACAAACTTTTCTGCAAATTAACCTTTTGGTTGCTTGCAGATACAAAGCCCGTCCAAATTCAGCGACAATGGATTGATGCATCAAAAATTGAGAAGCGCCCTGCATCTCACATAATGTCAAGTTTCTTTTACATGATTGGTTTGTTTGTTAGCCCTCACAACAAACACAAAGGGAAAGGAATGTGGTTCGATTCTGACAGCAGCCATTTGTGGGAGGAACGTTGTGTGACGACACTATTAAAAAACAGCTGTGTAGCAGATTAATGTTTGGCTGAAACACATACTTCAAACAAGAAAAGCAAGCCTTTCCTTTCTCCCCAACCCTAAAAAGTGTTGTGCAGCTGCTCAAACTACCAGTAGGAAATAACAAAACAAGCTCACAATCAAGGCTCACAATGGTTTTGTGGGTGGGTGAAGGAAAGGGTCTACATTGTTTTGTTTTCCGAACAATACACCACTTGGTGTCAGTGCGTCAACAATTTTGTTGCGGACAGTAATTACAAAAGTGAGCTGTGTAAGCATACTAACAAACTATTGACTAAATGACTGACTTGATAAATTAAAAATACAACATTACTGTAAGATTAATTTGCCAACATGATGTGATTCAGAAGTTAACATTTTAAGTACCAGTCCTTCATCAGTGTTAAGACCTGGCACTCAGAATATCAGCAATTGAATCACTTTATGATGGTAAATAAATCTTTTCAGTTTCGATAACTGAACTAAATTTTTACATTCCACTCCATTATGGATGTAGAAACGCAGTTTCTTCAAAAACTATAAACCAGTCTACTCATTTGTAAATACCGTAAAATTATGAAAATAAGCCCCGGGGCTTACATTTTTCAAAGGCCCTTTTTGAGGGGCTTATTTTTGGAGGGGCTTATATTTGGAGGGGCTTATCTACGGAGGGAAATTTGCGTTTCAAACTCGATAGGGCTAGCCTTATAGTTGGAAGTAAATTTACCATTTTTTCTTTGTTTTACATTGTATTTGAGGGCAATTTTCCAAGACAGTACAAGCCCCTGGGGGGCTTATATTTGGAAGGGCGATTTAACGCAATGTTTTTTATGTTACTGGCTTGGGGGGCTTATATTTGGAGGGGCTTATACATGGAGGGGCTTATACATGGAGGGGCTTATTTTCGGAATTTTATAGTATTTTTAATAATAATGATTTTGTACCTCATCATTAAATACTGATGCAAGTTCCTTTTTTCGTTGCACTAAAAGTGGTTCTTTTTTTGGTTTCTTTGGATCTGATCCCTATTGAAGAGAAATGATAATCATAATATTAATAATAGAGATAATTTTTAACCATTTTCTGTTTCAGGAATGGTGCTTTTAATTGGCAGTGTATTATTTATGTAATTTTCTACAGTTCATCTGTAAGATGCTTTGGTTCTGCCAACAACTGGTCATGGAAAGCCCTTGAATGGAGTACCAGACACTCCCTTTAAGTTAGAGCACCCCAATAAAGGGCTGGTACCTGAAATGTCAACACCTATAGTGAGTGCTTTAAGCTATGCACTTTAGGATAAAAACAGCACCAGCACCAAAAAATGATAAATCTAATACCATAGTGAAGAAAATTTGCAATCTCAAATATGACATAAAATGCATTAGTCACTTCCAAGAGCAGTCATCATCTCCAACCTACTTTCAACCCAGGACAAATCCCAGGAATCTGGCTATTTTGAGAAATTGTGGTCAAAGTCCCTGTTATATGTATGTTGACCATCAAGATGGTCAGACGGGTGCCCTTGGAATTGACTGATACATCTTGCCAAATCCAGGAAATAGGGTGTTTAATTTAAACTGCTTAAAGACAAATAATAAAACAGCTGTTTTCCTTGCTCCTTGTTGCTGAGGATGTTTCACAAGGAGGAACGTCTGCAACCCAGTGGCAGAAATTCCATACTGATGACGTAAATCAACGTTTGCATAATAAAGCCAGTAGTTATGGGGTCCCAAATGCAAATTTGTTCAATTTTATGTTTCTCTTTGTCAATTTTGGTAAAGTGTTGTGTTCATCTGTGAACGAGCTTCAGCAAAACTCAAATGCTTCTAGAGAAGAATATATTCCACAAATATTGACTGTTTTGTTATAGATTCATGGCACTTACATTTGCCCTCAGTACATGTAGCATTTTGTGTCTCATTAGTAAGTAGTTAGCTAAAACAATGTAACCACTCCGCCATCCAATCACTGCTTATGACCAGATTCTGGACAGATTTTACGCTATTAGTATGAAATTTCTGTTGGTGAGTTGCAGAAACGTCCCCACCAGCGAGGAGCGAGTAGAAATGGCGGTTTTCGGAGGTCAATACATGGCATGTAAAAAATTTCTGATTGAAAAAACTAACACATTTGTAGCTGGTAGTTTCACTGGATAATTCAAGATTCAGCAATGTTTAGGGTGTGTTGCCAGTTTTTAGCAGATAACTGAAAGCATGGAAACATCCCAAGAAATAAAAGATGAAAGTGAATGTGGGATTTAGTACTCAAGAAAAATACATTTATTAAGCTTAACTGAAAACTAAACTCTTGGTTTAAATTTTTTAACCCAGGTTGATTCTCAGTTTCCTTAGTCTCCTAGCCCTGATTCATGAATAATTAGAGCTAGGAGACAAAGGAAATTGAGAATCAGCCTATTGTAGGTTTTAAATTTTAACCTGAATATAATTTTGACTAAGCTTATAACATATAAGCTTATATTTTAAAAACTTATTGATCAAGTTACTGATTCCTCAAGGGTCAATTTTATGCGGAAAAATGTCTTTGGGCGTTTCCTAGCAAATATGCTCCGTAATCAAAGTCTAGCTTCCTTAAATAGATAAGCTGATAAAGCTTTACTCAGCGGAAACCATTAAGCATACATTGTAGTTCCGCATCACATTTTCCCAGTTCATTCCTAAATTATATTCATTTTCAAGTTAAAGCCAACTTGCAACATTATAAAAAAAACATTACCAGCGTTAAACTGACTCCTATTGGTTTTTTCTGTGTAGATCCAGACAGATTCATCGAGATTTTGGGTTTTTGCGTGACTTTAGAGTCAGAGATCTGTGGCAGTTTTCTCTTCTCACCAACAGTTGCGATCTTATCGGTGGCACTCCCTGTACATTAGACACAGATACTGCACAAGGTCAGTATAACTGGAAAATACGCATTTCTTCTACAGTTGGAAAACCAAAGAAGGGATTTTAAACCTTCGTTTTCTAGCGTTTTGTCCGGCAGCTTCGAAGAACTCAATTGTACTTTCGGTTCCGCCATCTTGCTTAGTGGCCTCGCGTTGCGAGGCTTGGATGCCAGGCCATTTAATCGGAAGTGATGAAGTTGTTGCGACGCAAAGGACAGATTTAGAAAAACCCGCCTTTTCAAAGCAATTTTTGTTTTCTTCCGTTAGCTGCTGAAAGCCAGCAGATTACCGTTGCTTTCTCGTTCGCGATGCACGCAATTTTCGAGCGACATAGGAGATGAGCAGCTCCGTAGAAGATTGGCTCCGATCGCTGGGTTTCATTCACTACACGCAAGCCTTTCTTGACAATGGCTACGACGAACTGGACATTTGCAAAGAAATTGGCAAAGAGGACTTGGACGCGATCGGAGTGAGAAATTTTAAGGACAGAACTGATATTCTAAATGCAGTAGAACGCTTAAAACAAAGTGGAACAGCAGTGTACTTTGTATTGGAAGGCAATGCCGATAGCGAGTCTTTGGCAGCTCAACCGGAGCGAGAATCTTACCCTCCTATTCAGTTGAAAATGATGCTACGCGATAAACTCGAAGAAGACAAAATTGATCTTACTGCTCTTCCTTATACACTACCGGTGAGTACTTGTTGATTTATTTTATTATTTATTTTTTCAATTAATATTGATCGCCCGGACATATACTCGATCAATGTCCAAGGCCAAACAGTTTCTCGCGCAGGCATCGAAAATGTGCAATCGAATGGGTGTTTCGCGTCCACACGTAATGTACGAGGCTAATCAATTTGCTAAGGCAGTGAATGGACGTGTGGGGTGCTTCGAATTCTACTCACGTACATCTTTCGTGAACAATCAAACACAGTAGAGTGCTTGATTTATTAATCTCCTAAGCTAACATGTACTCATATTGCCCGGATTTGAAGGTTATGGGAATTTCAAAATTGCTATACTTTGGTTTAGATTACTTGTATACACAATAACTGTTTAATCCCGTCAGGAAGTCACAATTATTCATCGGAAATCATCATTCTTTACTGGAAATGAATTAACATAATAACGTGATATTGCTTTGACTGCACATTTCAGGACGCTTGGACAGGTTGAAATTTGCACGTTGGCTTTACTTTAGACTCCTAAAATTATTTGTTTATTGATTCCAAGGTCTCAAAAATAATCCTACATAATTGTAGCATTTATTGAAGCTCTAATAATCTTTTAAATGACAAACATTTCCTTTGATAGTTTTTTAAATAGTTCAGGTAAACAAGGAGCATCGAGACTTTGGCATACATTGTTAAACATGTTTGTAACTGCAGATGAACTCTGAACCCTGTGATGTTTTTTTGTCTTAGTTCATGCATAAGATTGTTGTGAACTTTGAGATAAATTAGTTGTTAAATTAATTAGTGCGATCTCATGGTGTTTTAGGGAAAGAAACTGAAATATTTTTTTCCAATTTCGACTAAGGTTAGCCACTAAGTTACCTATCGAAAATCAATGGAATGATGATAGCACCAATAAACTTACTTTTATATCATAATTATTGGTAAATGTGAGTGTTATTTTTAATACAATATCATGGGCGATGAATTACTCCTTAATTTTGGTGTGAAATTTCAGTGTTAATTATGATAATTATTTCACATGGAAAATAAAAAATTGCTATGGCAACCTTCTGTACATTTCAGTGCCAATATGGTGAGGAAGTTTTAAAATGTTATTAATGAAGTTGTAAAGACATTAAAAGAGGCGTTATAAAACCAAATAGACAAAAGAACACATCAAGAAGGATTCTAACAAGAATTTTGTTGAAAAATTCTAAACTTAAGCTAAATTTAAGCTCTGAACTTTTGAGAGCATGGATTCCTTGGTCGATACGGATAAATATGTCAAAAATCCTTGATTGGGAATGTAATTCATCTCGTATGATATTAAAAAGTAATCAAACGGTTAACTCGTAAAATTAGGGAATAATTTCACTCATGTTTTGTTCAAATCCCAATAATTTCCTGAGCCTTTTGGACAAAACGTGTGTGAAATCATTCCCTAATTTCACTCGTTACCATTTGATCACACATACTAACATTGTAACCACCAGGATTACACACACCTGGACAATCATATTCCTTTCTTATGACCTTTAAAAATATTTTTGTTTGTTATTTTAAAAGGTCTCACTCATTTAGCCTAAATTAATGTTATCTGTACAGTCATGTAATCCTTTATTGAATTTGTTGTGTTCACTGTGGTTGAACTTTTCTAGAAGATCATTGTCATCATCAGTCTCTTTTTGCTGAGTGGGAAGCATGTTTAGGTCTATTGCATGACTCTTTGAGTCTGAATAGTGACCAACATCAGTTTTCACCCGACAATGTCAATACATAATCAAGAGAAAAAGGTTAAGAGAGTTTATGAAATAATCACCAAAAGAAAATGCGATGATCTTTTAACAAATTGTCTCAACCAATTTTTCAAGGAAATATATGAAGATCAGTCTGGAGAATTTGTATTTGGACATTTGGACTTAAAGGGTGAACAATGTTCTTTCCTTAAGATCTCAATCTTAACTCCTTTAGTTTATACTTCACTTAATGCATCTCAACATCTCCCTCTGATCTCTTTCTCCTGCAGCCATAGTGCAGGAAGCAGGGCAGGAATGTCCAGGTTTGGGGTTCATTACAACAACAGAGACCTCTACCCAAGATCTCATTCTTGACTTTTGTAGTTGATTGGAACTTCCCTTTTGCTTCTCATCATCTCCCTCTCTTTGTGGTGTCCCAGTACATTACAGCACCCTCAGTTATTTTCACTTGTGTTTTGGTTAGTTATCATTTTTGTATGGACAAACAACTCTCTTTTAATGAAGACCTCTGTTTATATGTAGTCGTTCAATTTTATTCTTGTTTTAAATTTTCTTTTCTTTTGTTTCAAACTCATTATCATGTTATTATGATCATACATTACCATACCCAAAAGCAAAAGAAAATAAATTTTGAATCAAGGATAAAATTTAACCACAACACAGGGTTGTAGTAAAGGAAATTGCCTGCTGAAAAGAAAATGGAGGCGGCAAAAAGAAGGCAGCATGGCGCCTTTTTGGCCAACATTGGGGACTGTATGGGTGTTTTCCTCTGTTTCATACCGATCACTGCTCAAAATCCAGCCGGTGATAGCCTCTGACTAAGCTGGCTAATTTTGCCCGCAGTCGGCACTTAGTGACAACCCTGTCAGTGTATTGCTGGGTCGAGTTGTTTGAAAGGTGGATAATGCTATCCACTGGTTAAATCTCTATCCAGAGGATAATGTAATTTGTTCCCTAGTGCTTAACTGCTGGATATCTAGTTATTTATCTGGTGGATAGTAAGTGTTGTCAGAAAGTTTTGAAGTAGACGGCTGAGTTGTCAAAGTAAGAGGCCAGTCCAGGGATATTTAATTTAAAAAGACACCATCCATAAAGAAATTCCAAGCAGAGTAGCTGGCCAATACTAACCAAGTAGGCGGTGATTTGTTACTTTTGACAACCCTGGATAGTGCTATTCACTTTTGAACAACCAGGGCTTGAATCTCTCTTATCTGAACCCTGATTAACAAGACTTTTCATTTATCTGGCTTTTTTCTCCTTTGGTCCCACATTTTGTTGAAAATTGATGACAACAGGAAAATCTGAGGTTATGATTCTTTTCGTCATGAAATAATTATACCATTGAAGCTTATTTCATTTCATTTTTTTTCAGTCCATACTTGTGTTGTAAACAATGAAGGGAATTTTGCCATCAATAAATTGTACAGCAAATGACAGATGAATACATTTTAGCTAGTGTTATTTGATACTTGATCTTTTGAAACTACAAAAGTGGCAACCAGTATTTTTGACTATCCATACTCTTTAAATATTCTGTTATTTACCCCCAGTCCTGTCAGAATCGGATAATAAATAATGAGGTTCAACTGTTAATTCACTCTCTACAAAATACTTGCAGAGTCTCATTACTGTTGTTAAAACTTAAGGTTATTGATATTTTGTGGTAATCTCCTCTGATAGGATGGTTCTGAGGGATCTTTGGATACTTTGGTTACCCTATACGCTGATAAGTTTTATACTTATGAGGATCAGGTGCTGTCAGCACTGAGAAGTTTACGGCAACGGCAAGCTGAAAAGGAGGAAGCATCTGATCTTCCAGTTCCTGTACATGCGGCGCCGGTAAGAATGAGTTGGAAGCATTGAGTTATGATTAAGTTGGATTAATAATATTCCCATAAAGTAATAAAACTCATCAGCTATGCCACCTTTGTTGTGGGTGGTCCTTTCCCCCACGGAAAATACTGCTGCTGTCAGCATTACCATCAAAATAGACTTTTCCACAGTTGTTTCAACTTTTGATATGGACCAGTTAGGAAAAATCCGTCGATACTACTGCAAAGAGTGCCTAGTTAAAATTGGTGAAATTGCTAAATTTCAAAGTGATATGTCGTAAGCAAGCAAAGATATAGCTCCACAGAGTTGTGAAAATTTTCAGGCATTTGCAAGGTGGGGGGCAAGTTTGTGCTCCCCACCATAAAAAACGTCTGTAAAATTTTGCTACTTTGAGATGCTATAATATGTCTGTTAGTTTTCAACTTATCACTTTCAAACTTGGCAGTTTTACTCATTATAAGGCGTTCTTTTTAGTGATGTTGATGGATTTTCCCTGATGTGTCCATGTCAAAAGTTGTGTACAGTACCTACAAGTTCTGTAGATACATGTATAATACTACCAGTTATGATTAAAGCTACACTTAAACTGAGTGACTAATATTTTTATCTTTTAAACCTTTAGCTCTCCCCACCTGTTACATGCACACGGGTATTTAGACACTCGTCAAAACATAGTTCTCGTGGGTCAAAGGGATCAGATAAAGAGGGACATGGGGTGGCTTCAGAAGATGAAGACAAAACAAGTCCTGCAAGAGCTGTAAGTATTGCACAGAACTTGAGAAGGTTTTGTTAAGTTTGTACTGGGACTAATTCATGATTGTTTTCTAAGTTTTCTGCTGTTGCATTTGAAGAGGAGTTTGAAGTTCTGAAAAAAGTCATGTTACATATATTGAATGCATGTTTTGTGCACCATGTGTAGTTATTCCCAGCAGTGGCAGATTGAGATCTTCAAGTTAGTGGGAAGGGGAGAAGATGGGGGTGCTCATCTAGGCCCTGAGAGAAGAGGTGGCTGGCCGTGAAAATATTTTTTCTCACCCTGCGGGATTAATTATTATTGTTTTAGTTTGGTGTGAAAATAAGGTTTGGACCCCTCCCCTAGATCTGCCAATGCCTAGTGTACTTGTATGACTGCAAAATATGTATCTGTTTCTTTGCTTACCTCATAATCTTTCAATTTGTGAGTTTCAATGTACATTGTGACACTTTGACTCGATGTTTTAACCCAAGCTGATAATGGTCAGGTAGCCATACAATCATAAACATCTCGGAGTATTAAAAGACATGGCATATGTCTGCAAGAACATGTTTTCACGTTATCAAGGAGGGTTACAATATTTCATATAGTATCATTATACATTGCATTTTTTGCTTCATTACAGGGAATGAACCCTGCGGACTATTTAGATGTTGAAAGTCCTTTCCAGCGTGGTAATAAAAAAAGTAAGAAACGGAGAAAAGTTGAACGAAACACTAAACTTTCCAGGAGTTTGGATTCTCTGAAAGAGTTACATGGTAAGTGAAGATGATGTTATGGTACTTGTTAACATAATGTTTAATTCCAGTCTTTTATGTCCCAACTCCAGTTATTCTATGTTTTCAATTTGAATCATGAATAATCTTACTAATAATCTAGTTACTAGTCTAAGAAGACAAAATTTGGAATAGTTATTAAACTAGGTTGCAACCTTTGTCATCAGAAAATTTTTGTTTTTGAACTACAATTCCGATAAAATTGGTCCTGGTTTTTCAAAAGGTGCATTAAGAAACGGTCCAGATAAGAATGATAGCAACAATGGCAACAAACATGTTAGAATGCAAAAAAGGTGCTAACTTTTCTATTGTCTGTACTTCTGATTGGCTTAAACAAAACTTCATAAAGCGGTACATATATTCATCCTTACTTTCTAACCATCTTCCATTTAACAAAATCTGGTCTCAGTTTGAATAACAAAGAAATCCTATGTGGGGAACGTGTAAAATTGTAAACTTTTCTTGGCTATTGTTTTCAACTCTTGTGATTGGTCAAAATCTTTTAACACAAAAAAACACCCTTTCAAAGTGGAGTGTACATGCATTTTATTGCATAAACGGCCTTCATGTAGGTTTATGCATTCTCTGTGTAAAAATGAGAACATTCCTATGTGGGGAAAGCACCGTTGCCGCATAACAAAAGAAATTGCTATCCACCTTACTCGGATCATTACTTAAGTGCTATCCACTTGATGTTATATAGGGCTGTCAATAAGGGCTGGTAGCCAGTCAAAACCACCGGCTAGTTGGCCATCCTTATAGTTGGCATACTTTCATCCCCTTCTACCATAACTGTTAGCAAAAAATAAGCACCATCAAATAAAATTGTAGAGCATCTGTTTCCCAGTTTTGAATGACCTTGAGCGCATATTTAAACAGAGAGTGAAATGTTCGTACTGTGCTATTTTGTGGAACCCTTGGGACATTTCAACAGCACTTCCCGGTGTTGCGTGTATTCTGACGAAACAACATGCATATGTTGTCTGGGGTGGAAAATACCTGGAGATGCCTCGGCACTCCAGAACCTGTGCCTTTGGTTAGAGTTCCAAAGCCGCCTACTATTCGTCATCAGCCTGCTACTTAAAAAACTTTTTGACAGCCGTAATTGTAGATACAAAGGATGCAGTACCCTTATCCTTCACTGAAAAGTTAGGCTTTAGGTGTATACAGCACTATCCAGCACATTCCAGCTTTTAAACTATTATTGTTCCAGGTTAGTGCTCAGATCCCACTATCATCAAAGCATTTTGTTTTACACGTATGTATTTTTTGTTTCAGTCAATGTTGATCCAAAGACCCGAGAACGGGAACAGTCATCTTTCAAATCCCGGTTCAAGTTGTTTCATGGAACAAAGAAAAAGCACCACAGTACTTCTAGTAGTGACATGAGAAAGCAAGCCTTGGAGAAAAAGCTATCAAATCCAAATACTACCAAAGATTATGACTTGCTTGCTTCCGCTATTAAGATGAGCGAGGAAGATCGCATGGCATTGATGATCATGGTTAAACAAGGAGAACTTACTGTGGAAGAAGCTGTAGAACAGTTAAAAAAGTGAGACACATTACATTCACTGTGTGGTACACTTCTTCAGGACTGATAATTTTTCGGAAAAAAAGTGCAAACAAAGGATTTTAAGGGCAGGGAAAAGTCAAGAAATCTGGTGAAACATCTGAGAAACTTTCAGTTGGTCTAGACAGCAGTCCATTGTTACAGTGAAACCTTGATCTAACGAACCTCTATATAACCCTTTAATTCCCAATAGTGCTCAAGATCAATTTTCTCCTAACGATATCCATAGACTGTCATGAGCAAAGTCTATGAGAATTAACAAAATGATCACAAAGAGAAAAATATTTGATCTTTTACCAAATTCTCTCAAATAAATTCTTCAAGGAAATGTATGGAGACCAGTTTGGAGAATTTGTATGTGGATTTTGGGACTTAAAGGGTTAATGAAGTCCTAAGCATAACAAACAATTTTCTTTAACCCAGTAACAGTAAAATAAATGGAAAAGAACCTTGATATAGCGAAACCTTGTTATAAGAAACATATTTTGCCAATCCCTTGGCCCTTCGTGATATCGAGGTTCCACTGTAGTTAAGAAGAAAATAGCAAAAAGAGAGATGTGAAGTTGTTTGAAGGAAAGATCCACATCCCTCTTATTTCTTTTATGTTATTTTGCACTTCCCTACTTCCTAAAACAGGCTTGATACCCCAGTTACAAATGACTTGTATGCTACTTCAGTATTAGTAAATATATAGCTGTATGCCATGACAAGCATACACAGTTGTTCACATCTATCTCTATTAATTTTGTGTAAACTCGTGGAGCAGGGCTGTCACTCGCTGGGCAAAAGCAACATGTGGGCAGCAAATCAAGCAGCTATATTTTTATTTTATTTTCCCTTGAAAGTAACCAAGGGCCATGTTCATAGTAGTGGAGAAAATCGCTGGCCCCTGACCCTGCATGTAAATGACAGCCCTGCAGAGGGGATCACAATCAGTTATAGCTGTTATAATCACTAACGAAATATTTAATCATAACTATAACAAACTTCTGAAATCTGATTGGCGATCAGTTGTACTGATTTCAGCACTAACAGTGTAACTGGACAGTATGTATCATGCCTAATTAATTGGACAGTATGTGCCGTCATGTGTGCGCTTAAATGGCTTAATTTTTCACTGTTAGCAAAAAACTTGTGCTTTGATTTAAAAAAGCTTAAAATTCAAAAATTTTATTATAGTCATGATTAATTGGTAACAGAACTTCATTTCATCCAATTTGTATGTGTAATCAAATGGTGACGAGTGAAATTAGGGAATAATTTCACGTGCGTTTTGTCCAAATCCTAAGGATTAGAAATTATTAGGATTTGGACAAAACGCAAGTGAAATTATTCCCTAATTTCACGAGTATACCATTTGATTATCTATTAATATCATAGGTGACAAATTACGTTAGCAATCTTGGATTTTTGACATCTTTATCCTGGATCGTATTGATCACGAACTCCACTCTCTCAAATGTTTAGACCTTAAATTTGGCTTATAAAGTTTAGAATTTTTCAGACTTTTTTGGCAAAATACCTGTTTTTCTGTTGTTCTTGTTGTTCTCTTGTGTGTTCAGGTTTTCTAAAGCGTCTTTTTGTGCCCTGACATTTTCTTCATTCACGGCATTATAAAACTTCATCGCCATCTTGACCCTGAGACATACGGAAGGGTTGCCATGGCAATTTGTGAAATTACAAATTAACGCTGAAATTTCGCGCCAAAATTAAGGAGTAATTTGTCACCTATGGTATTAGGTCAGTAATCCTACTCGTGATTAAACAAATCAGACTCCCGCTACATGGAAGTCTGATTTTGTATATCACTCTTATGATTACAGGCCGAATTGGACTCCACTCAGTACCATTATTACATGTAATCATGTTGATAAAACTATCATGCTTTCTAGATATGAAGAGGACTGTCAAAAAGGGGATTATATTAAACCAAAGGTAGAGTGCAAGTAATTGTATAACATTTCTCTTATTATGTTTATACAATGGTAGATGTACTGTACACATCCTATTTTTGAAATCAGTAATTTCCTCTTTGATTCAATGTGGCAGTTTGTTGTGAACATCTTTCCTAAAGACACCCAGATATAGGCTGGGTTATGTAGTTGCATTATCTTATGTTTAAGTTATATTCTGTTTTTGAAACCAAGGATTTACATTGTACGATGTAACAACTAGAGGTACTCATTCCTGGCCGAGATGCCCCTGATAAAATCAGTAGGGGTAGTTAATTGGTAGTCACCTGCGATACCTCAGAAAATTTGTGGCTTTGTACCACAGGAACACCAAGATTAGGATGACCTGCTGACATCACCATTTTTTTATTTCCTTTACTAAAAGAAAATATGCAAACAAACAAACAAAATAATAAACTTACTTGGTTGATATATCAGATTTGGATTCCCAGAAAATGCAAAGATTGTGACATTATGATTTCAATGTTCTTCAGAGTGAAGAAATTATTGATGATGAAAAGTCAGAGAAACCTAAATTAAAACGTGGCTTGTTTGGGAGGAGCACCAAAAGAAAGTCTGGCAGCCGGCCATCATCTGAGTTTATAGCATCTGAAATGACAACTATGAGTGAAGAAGACAGAATCATCTTGATGAGATGTGTTAAGAGTGGAGAAATGAGCGTTGATCAAGCTCTCAAGCGGTTTATAAGGTAAGCACATAAAGGCGTTTATTGGTTGTGACAAGCACCAGCAACTGACTTATGTCTGAACAATCGATCAAGGTGAATAAAATTGTCATTGTTAAATCAAGCAACAAAATCGGTATTGTGCTCGTATATATAATATTGTTATTAGCAGGTGATGCGTTTGTTATACGTGAATTACTATGAACGTAATAAAGTTTTAACCTATTCCAGTACATGCTGGCCTGCAAAATACAACTGTTTTTTCTTCAGTCCTTGCTGTTAGGGAAGTTACGTGGGGGAGATGTCTGTTCTCAACTACAAAAATGCCATACTGATGATGTAAACTCTCTCCAGAATCTGTTTATGAGCTCAGGTTGTTTGCATTGTAGTGATATTCTTTTAGCTATTGTTGACGAATGACACAAAGGTCAAAATGTAAGTGTGGTGAATCTACTGTAAACAGTTTATATTCTTGGAATAAATCCTTCTTTAGTGCACTGCAGTTGAGTTTCGCTGCTGCACATTGGCAGAAGAACTCAAACTTTATGATATTAGAAACATAAATCTGCATTTGGAACCCCATATCTACCAGATAAATAATGTTAACATTAATGCACATCATTAGTATGGCATATGTGTCACTGCACTGCAAACATCTCATCTGGGAAATGTCGCGAAGAGCAAGGAGAGATGGCTGTATTCGCAGGCTAAGTACATTTTACAAACGGATTGCAGAGAGCACTTTCAGCTTTATAGTGACAGATTATGTAATAATATTATTGCCTCCTAAACAGGGAATAAAAAGTTGGCAACAACATGTTTTCTCATTTATATTTTTTTCTCAGTTATGAGGAAAAACACAAGAAATCAGAGTCAGATGATTCTGCCCCTCAAAAGGTATGAAATTGTAAAACGAGTACCATTCATAAATAAAGAGGTAAACAGAAGAATTGTGCAGCCAACTTGAAGACTGATTGATAGAAGCACTGTAAAACCAGCTGTTAAAATGTGTGGTGAATACAGGGTTCACACGCACCTTGAAAGTCCTTGAAACTCCTTGAATGTTAAAATATAAATTCAAGGCCTTGAAAGTCCTTGAAAATTGCAGTCGGTGCTGGTAAGTCCTTGAATTTCAATGCTAACTTAAAAGTTTAGGTAGAACTCCAAAGAAAAAGAAGCAAACACAGAAAGACCTTAGGAATAAATTTACTCATGTTGTGGAAGAACAAAAAAAGACATAGAGTCAAGGCTCTCTTTTACACTGAATGGAGTCCTTGAAAAATTAACGGGAAATGTGTCCTTGAAAGTCCTAGAAAAGTCCTTGAATTTTTTGTTCAAAAAAGGGTAGGAACCCTGTGAATAGGTGTCAATCAAGTTGATGTACATCCAATTACTAGGGAGAGTTGGCTGGATGTTTTAACCGTAAACAAGGATGCCGAGCTTAGCTTATCATTAATATCATTAACTATTAGGCCTTTCGCAAAGAACTGCCTCTGGTTGTTTTAAAGGTGGACAACGCTAGCCATTGCATAAATCTTTATACAGTGGGTAACGCCATACTGGTTTCCCTAATACTTATTCACTCTCCAACTGGGGTCTACTTTTTGAGGTGTCCAAATTTGTCTAGCCACTATCCAAATGTACCAAAATTATTTGCAACTTGACTACTAAGCCATTTCTGCTTCTAAGACAAATGATGTGTACATGTATGTTGCTACATATGTATTTGTTTTTGTGGTATGTGTCCAAAGCAAAACTTTGATTTAGAGTTTGAATGGAAACAAGCATGCTTCATGTTTTTTGTATCCCTTGTTGCTATAATATTATTGCGCTAATTTGAATGGGCGTACTTTCAAAGATCAGTTTGTCCTGTACAAGTTTTGTCTTAAAGTCACCTTTCAGAGTTAAATTTGATGATAAGTGGAGAAAGAATCATGAACGATAGTCTCATTTGGGCAATCAGTGATATTTATTTGTCTGTGGGTTAACTGGATTATGCAGAGTACGTAAGTGATGGCATTACTTCAAAAAATTTAAAATAACAAATATTTTTGTTTTGTTTCTTTACCAAATCAGCCGTCCCCCAAGTTGCCGAAGTCATCAAGTGGATTTTCCCGCATCAGTATCAAGAGAGTCTCTGGCGTTCTTTCATCCTCCTTTAAACTGCCTACTTCTTCTGTTAATGAGCCAAATGCAGTGTTTTACACTGGTATGTTGTGAAGCTTTTACCATCTACATGTACAATCGGTGACAATATTAGTTGGAACACTCTGCCCTCAAGGACCTTTCTCATGTTTCGTTGACACTATCTACTTGTGGTTCAAATTGGGAAATGAGGGGCGTTTGTTCTAAGTTAGTTAACCACTTTCTAAAGTGAGCTGTTGATGGTAGTCTGTAGAATACGCTATGCATGTCGCAGAGTCCCAGTCGATTTGATGCTTCATCAATAAATGGTGTTCAGCAATGTGACTGTTGACATCTACGACGACTGCTTACGAATGTCAAGGACAAAGACAGACCGGAGGACAGACAGGGAGCAGTATACAAGATCAAATGCTTCGACTGCCCGACCCCTTAAATCCTTCAGACCGGCAGAAACCTTAGTACGCGACTGACTGAACGCAAACGATCGACAAGAATTGTTGATGTCAACAACAATCGTATTCAGGTCTACGATCACCCGGACGGTCACATGCCTCACCTAGCTATGAAATGACTCCTGGGTTCAAACCTGTCATAGTTTTAAGTGATTATTGTAATCTCTGCTAAGATACAAGGTGCTGGATTGCAGAAAAATTGTCTCTCCAGTACTCATCCACATTTAATGAGAAACAATAGAGAGTATTTCTCGTACATATTTTACCAAACTGTTTGTGAGATCTAAATCTATTTGGCTTTTTCCAGGCTCACAAAAAATAAATGAATGGAACTGGGGATACACTTTCTCCAGTCTTTTTCTCACCCTGTACTTCCTTGATGTTCGCTTTCTTCAGCTTTGCTACTACAACAATTTGAGAACTTACTTCAGGCTGAAATTTATCCGCTGTGGATGTTGCTTACATGTACGATAATTCTTAACTTTTTTTGTTTATTCTTTTCGCAGGAGAAGATGGTGGGAGTGTTGATGGTAGCGTGAGTTCAGGGGATGAGGTCCTGGGAATAGATTCTTCCCCAGCTCCCTCTCCTCTTCTCGCAAACGTTCAAGGCAAAAACAAGGTAAAATACTTGTAACTACAACTTGATGACTGAAAACTGCACCGCAAGGAACGTAGGTGCAAGTGCTAATGTTTCTCGCTAAAAGACTTGATTAATTTTCTGTTAATCTTATGTTTGAGCTTGACAAATTAAAAGCAAAAAAACAGATTTGCTCCTCAAGAAAGTATTGCTCTACATTAACTAGTGATAGTTGACACAGGGGCGGATCCAGGATTTTTCTTAGGAGGGGGTGCACCACTAACTGACCGATGACGTAAAAAATTTTAAAAGCGAATACGAAGAAGAGGGCTTTTGACTAGGAAATAACATAATGTGAACTGCTGAGAATACATATCAAACGATAGAGCAGATTTTGTATGTCTGTCAAGCGACTGCACAGTGTTAATTAGAAAGCGGCCGCAGGTCATCCCGGGGGTTGGGCTGCGCACCCCCTGCACCCTCCCCCTGGATCCGCCCCTGTGACACTACAGCTGCCCCCGCTCTGTATATTGTCGGTTAATAGTATTCTTGCTCGTTGCGTAGCTCTGTTAAATATACCGATTCATAATGAAGATTTTCACACATATTCCATACAATTGGTGAGATAAAAACAGGGAACGCAAGGTCCCACGCACTGATTCAGTTCGATTTACCCAGCCGGCTTTGATCAAAAGATTCTCAGTTCGCGAATATTTTATTCTAAACCGTAAGAAAAGATCTCATTAGAAGTTGGAATTTTTCCCAATTTCTCTTTCACTTTTTACATACAGCTCATTTTATTAGCCGGAAAGTGAGCCTTAGAAATGAAAAAGTTTAAATAATTGTCGGCGAATTTCTGTAATCGTCCATCGTCCTGCTCGACGATAAGTTAGCCGTTGAATTACTCGTCTTGCTTGTTTGTTGACTGAGTCTTATTCCCCCAAAGACAGAGAAAGAGTGCCTGGCGAATTGTTTCCAAGCATAGGTTTGTGAATGATAAACTAGCGTCTGGGAAACTGTCCAAGTGTTTATATGAACACAGTTATACGCACCCGCTTATAACGAGCGCTTAACGAGTGTCTTTTGGTCCATAACTTTCAAAACAGCTGCTCCACAGAATGTCACTGATAACACGTAACGCAAAAGAGTATCGAAGTGTGCTGTACAATAAGTGTCACAAAATCAACCTAAGAGGTCCCTGCGGGGATTTTCTGTCTTACTCCATCTCTTGCGGGCGGGAACTAATATAAAAACGTCATCATTACCAAACGATTCCATGCTTTTCTGGTACACTGACTGTATATTTCAGCTGTAAGTACTTTTCTAGATATACGCACGAGCTACCAGGATGCCTTTTCGAGTTTTCGCCCGCGACTACCTTCTTTGGAATGATTCCAACCGTTTTGTGCAACTCCCACCACAAAATTGGGTTGATGCGCATCGTACCACAATTTTAGTACACTAAAACTAATGAAAACTGTTTTCCACTATCAGGTCTTGAAATTAATTGCAACTCTAAAACTTGGCTCAGTGCCACGTTAAGTTTTTATCAAGTAGCAATCACACTCCTCTTTGTTCCTTTCAAAAAGTTTTAATAATTCACATAGGAAATGCGAAAGAGAGGTGGGGGGGGTCTCCGCATATGAAAGGGGTGGGGATGCTCGTCGTCTCGCTTAGGGTGTAAATTTCGGATTTTGGTCTGACTTGGGGTGTTTTGGGCAAAACGCCATAGTGTTCAGTCGTGAAGGTCTCGTTTAGGGTTGCACGCGAAAGAATATAAAAATATATATTTGATATGTATATTTTTAATTCGTTTTATTTGCTCTATTCATATAATCTAAGTTTCCTCATTTGTCTGTGTCTTCACATGGTCTCTTTTAGGGGTCAAAAAAGCTTGGGCCACGCCCAGATCGGTCTCCTTCAGGGGGTTAATTCAAAATTTCCAACGAGCATCCCCACCTATTTCAAATGTGGAGTCCCCCCCGGTGTCTATACATCTACATCTGTTTTAAACACGGCTGAATAGACCCTTCCAAGGTTATTTTTTTGGTATAAATTTGGCTGTGTTAACTGTTATTGTCAAGTCTAAACGCCGCATCGTTGTAACTTGATAAAATGGTGTTGCGTGTTCGAGCAATGTCGTTGCAAAAACAATGTTTATAACAGCCTCGAAGGTAAGAGATGTATAGGGTACAGGGGTTGATGCACGACAGTAAATGATTGACGAGGTGCACTAATGGTTGTCAAACTTATTTATCTTAGTCACAACGCAGTTCATCCAGCAGCGTGGACAGCTTGGAGAAAGTTGAAGGGAAGTCTGCACCTATTCCCATGCAAAACCAGCAACCCAACTTCCTCTCTGAAATGAAGGTCGTACTAGGAAAACAAAATCGATCAGAAAGCGGAGAACGGCCAGAAGGTACAAACGTGCCACATCGCAGTTTCATTAGACCTTTAGATTCGAAGACGAGGACGAGCTTAAACTTAAAAGTATTATCGCGTATGCTGAAAGCATCATTTTACCTTTTTTCAAGAGAAAAGGTAACACGTTTGTTTTAATTGAAGAGGAGAGAAAGCCCTCTCCCGCCCCCAAAATGATTAAACTTCTGTTATTAAATATAAGTTGTGGTCTGTCACTACGACATTTTCGCAAAAACTCGTTGTAGAATGACGACTGCTATTGCGTTTACCCGCTGGTTCACGCGCGCACTACTTAGTATTGAGAAAATCTCGTTCCCATAGTCGCCCTCGTCTACGAATCTAAAAGTCTCTATTAGCCCACACTGCAATTATCCAACCTGCTACCTTTTCATACACTTAAGGCAGGGAGCATGATCAAAGAAAAGTCTAAATTAACCCTTCAATCCGATTGTCATGCTTTGTTGATCTGCTTATGAGCGATGGGAAATGTACCAAAATTTTAGGACGCTTGGCACGAGCAAGAGGGAAGAAAGGAAAGGACGATTTCTTCTCGGCTGAAGCGTAAGAAGCGTAGAAGGATTGTGGAAAGTTTAGGTGAAATAGAGGGAGGCTCCGTTTACCCTCTCCTCTTGCACTCTTCTTATTCCAAGCGTCCGATTCCCCTCTTCCCCAATTTTTCTCGCGTCGTCCAATTGTAATTGTGCAAATCATTGTGCAGTTTTAACGAATTCTTTTGTACAGGATCTTGATACGCATCCCCTCCATAACGATCACATTTCCCTCCCAGCTACTACATCGTTACTCTGCTTTCAGTTCTTCTTTTAGAGCAACCCCTTTTAAGGTATCCCTGGAGGCTAATTGTTCCATTTTGACCACACTTCGTCATGCGTGATATCATGGGAAGCAACTGTACAAAATCTATCACATTTACACAAGTTAAACTTTATAACGTGTAAATACTGTGAAAGTTAATAGAAATTGATGAAAATGAAAGGAATTCTAAACTTTAATATTTTAATGGTGTGGTAAACACCTTTCAGTTTCACTCTTTTCAAAATATCTCTAAGAGATTTCCTTCCATGTCGAAAGCTTTTGCCAACAGATACATAACATTCAAACCTAAAATTGTACGGGATTAAGTCTCGATAAACGCTAACGAAACAAAAATAAGCACCCCAGAAATCTTGTCATGCACGTTTGAAGAAACTGTGATCTAAAATGCCTTGTTTGCTTGTGTTTTTTTTTCTAACAGATGCTGTCCACCCAGATTTAAAGTCCCTTCGTGTCTGTGATAAATATCAGAAGCCTCCTCCACCCCCTCCGGGAAGAAAAACCTCAATGCCCTTAGTGGAAACTCAAAAAGTTGTACCTCCGCCCAACTCCATTATCTCCCTCAACAGGACTCCACCGGTGGTTCCAATGAGACCTGGGCCTGCTGTGGCACACCCACACAGGCCTCCACCCCCTGTACCTTTGCGACCCTCAAAGAGTTCGGATGATGTAGAAAATCAGACTGCCATCGGGAAGAAAGTGCAGCCTGAACTTAATAATACGGAAGCTGGGCCTGCAAAATCTGATTTAACAAAGTTTAAAAATGATTCGAGACAATCAGAAACTAAGCCAAGGCTAAAGTCAGTTAATGGTTCGGCTGGTTTGGAGCGTGAAAAATTAGAACAGAATAATGCCGGAGATGTGGTACTTAAGAGACCAAATAAACCGCCTCCCCTTCCTCCACGTCCTACAAGTTCAAACTTAAATGAGAAGCCTGATATTGCCGAGGGACGTGATGAGTCTCAAGCAACCCTCCTTGATTCTGAAGAGAAAGTTTCCCCGACGGAGTCTGCGAGCGACGTCTCCGGTAGAGAGCCTCCTGTTGTTAAACCGAATCTGAAACCCAAGCCAAAACCCAGGCCAAGACCACGCCCTAAAATGGAGGACGATGAACAATATAAAGTACCTGCTCCCCGCCCTGTTAGGGTGCCTCAGAAAAAAGAGGTGCAAACTTCGGACAGTGACGATGATGCTTATAACCCCGTACCTCCTCCTCGCCCCGTTGGTAGAGTGACAGGAACAAATGACACCTCTGATAAGCCATACAATCAAGTGCCCCCACCCCGCCCTGTGGGGCAATCCCAAGGGGAGGAAGCGTCTGATGATGATGACGAACCGTATACCGCTGTTCCCCCACCCCGTCCAGTTGTCTCTCCAGGGGTTACACGTACCCAAGGGGAACCTAGCGGAAACGGAGTGCAAACCAACGTGGAAAGAGACAACAATGAACTGTTGGCTGGCCAACATATTGAACAGAAACTGTCTCGAAGTGAATCTGGTGGTGATAAGATTCCAGTTCCCGCGCCAAGAATCAAACGGCCATCACACTCACTGGGTGAAATGGTTGAAAGAAAACTGCATTTAGAACGCATTGATTTGACTCAAAGACCTTACTCTGATGACGTAAGTATCTACGGTTTAGTCTAACATTAACCCTTTAACTCATGAGTGTGTTACACCTTGGTGTAGTTGAGTTCGAACTTTTGAGTTCTGTGGAGACAATTCTGTGGTGTGAAACCACCTCAGCAGTTTTTACATGGGACTATTTATTTAGTATGTAGCTCTAACATGTGAGTTTGTGGATGCAATCCTATGGAATGACCGCTCAATAGAAACCTCTTCAGCAGTACTTTCACACAGTATTATTTATTTAGTATGTAGTATGTAGTTGTAACTTTTGAGTCCGTGGATGAAACCCTATGGTGTTACCATTCAAATGAAACCTCTTCAGTAGTACTTTCACACAGTACTATTTATTTAGTATGTAGTTGTAACTTTTGAGTCCGTGGATGAAACCCTATGGTGTTACCATTCAAATGAAACCTCTTCAGTAGTACTTTCACACAGTACTATTTATTTAGTATGTAGTTGTAACTTTTGAGTCTGTGGATGAAACCCTATGGTGTTACCATTCAAATGAAACCTCTTCAGTAGTACTTTCACACAGTACTATTTATTTAGTATGTAGTTCTAACTTTTGAGTCTGTGGATGAAACCCTATGATGTTACCATTCAAATGAAACCTCTTCAGCAGTACTTTCACACAGTACTATTTATTTAGTATGTAGTTCTAACTTTTGAGTCTGTGGATGAAACCCTATGGTGTTACCATTCAAATGAAACCTCTTCAGTAGTCCTTTCACATGGTACTATATATTTAGTATGTAGTTCTAACTTTTGAGTCTGTGTATGAAATCCTATGGTGTTACCATTCAAATGAAACCTCTTCAGTAGTACTTTCACACAGTACTATTTATTTAGTATGTAGTTCTAACTTTTGAGTCTGTGGATGAAACCCTATGGTGTTACCATTCAAATGAAACCTCTTCAGTAGTACTTTCACACAGTACTATTTATTTAGTATGTAGTTCTAACTTTTGAGTCTGTGGATGAAACCCTATGGTGTTACCATTCAAATGAAACCTCTTCAGTAGTACTTTCACACAGTACTATTTATTTAGTATGTAGTTCTAACTTTTGAGTCTGTGGATGAAACCCTATGGTGTTACCATTCAAATGAAACCTCTTCAGCAGTACTTTGACATGGTACTTTTTATCTAGTATGTAGTATGTAGTTGTAACTTTTGAGGCTGTGGATGAAATCGGTGTGACAGTTGTAATGAAACGTCGTCAGCAGTACTTTCAAATGGTACTATTTTAGTAATAGTTTCTAACTTTTGAGTTTGTCTAAACTCCTATGGTGAGACCGTTCAAGTGGCAAGGCCTTTTACATGAGACTATTTGTTCAGCTGATTTGTTTAATAGGATTTTGCAAAATAAAATTTGGAATTATTCCGGACTATTACTGTTAAAGCCACCATTAAGAGTCAAAGGTCTAAGTACCTTGAAACTTGTTGACTTATTCTAAAGGGTCATAGAGATTTATTTTTACCAACACTTTAAAAAATTCCAATAACATTTTTTATCAGTGACAAATACTTATACATATAGGCTATCAAATTTCATTGAAAGCGGCTACTTAAGTGTGATTTTAAGTACTCACTAAAACTTATTTGCTTGCCCATAAATATTCCGTGGATAAAGTGTCTTCGACATTTTTCCACTGACAAGCAATGTATTTTTGTTGGGCGTCGTGTCCCACTGAAGACAGGACCGCCATTTACCGTGGTCATCCGTGCTACGCGAAGCTCTAGCCTTTTGCAGGCCTACGTTTCTCAGTTACAGTGAACACCCGCCTATAAGAACCTACATTTTTTGAGGTCTGACAAAAAAGGTTTGGGTAGTTATTGGCAAGTTAGGCTAAGCAGGTTCTTAATAAGGTTCTTTAATTCTAAGGAAGAGATTTAGTTGTTGATTACTAGAAATATAAAGAAACTTTAGATTGGTCCTTAAATCTGTAGTATTTATTCACAACCGTACATTGTAAACCTCCTTTATGCAAGGTCCATGAAGACAATTGTAACAGTATGTACTTTTTATAACCTGTTTTCGTTGTAGAAATTACTATTTTTATCATTACCTGTAACCCACATATAACAACCCGCTTGATTTTGCTTGGTGGAACAGGTTCTTATATTTTTGGGCATTAAAGTGCCAAATTTCTGCCGGTAGGTTCTTAACCTAATAGGCTCTTATTAGCGGGTGTTTACGGTATTTTAAGAATCCTAGTGTTACTCCGGCCCCAGACTGGTGGATTAAATGTTACATCAGCACTTTTAAACGAGTTTACATCACTCTGTTGTGTGTTGTCTTTAGACTGGTTCCTGGGGTGTTCCAGTGAACTTGGTTGATCGTTACGCCGAAGAGCTTCACCGTTCACAACAAGAGCTCGCTGGTATAATCGACAAAATTAGAGTAAGGAAGCTGAAGCTAGCCGGGCAACAAGCGGTGAGTAGGATGTATATAAAAAGCTTTACGTATGCTGTTTTTTTTTTTCCCTGTTGCCTCCTTGCGATGTATTATGTACAGTCAAATCCCTTTTAATACGGACTCCCCGTTCTTACGGACACTTTGCTTTATTCACGGGGAAAGAAAGCCCTTGCATTTGCTCTAAAATCAACCCGTTTAATACGGACACCCCGTTAATACGGACACTTTCTATTGCCCCCACAGTGTCCTTATTAACGGATTTTGACGGCACAGAGTCATTCGTTTCCTCCCTTAGGAAACATCGCCGTGACAACGATAGCTTATGACTGATGTCACCCCAGCATCGTTAAGCGAGGACGACCTCCAGTTGTTCTCGAACCGTTCTGTTTGTCTTTCTCTGTGGACGTCTCTTTCTTAAAGCTTGTCTCGCCACAAAGCCTGTGTACAGCCGCCCCTTCCCCTCCCCCCTTAAAAATCGGGGAGAAGAACTCTCTCCCTAATTTTGTTTGAGGGGAAGGGGCGGCTGTACGCAGACTACTCGCCACACTGTCTCTGCCTTTTGCGTACATTCGCCGCTTTGGAAACGAGAAGGGAAATGCAGTCGAAATGCCTCCCGCCATTTTTTGGGGGGATCGTTACTGGGGACTCGTCGGTCAGCTATTGGCCAAATGTTAACAGTCCCAGAAGTCTCTGCGAAGGTTACCTCGGCCCAGTTTCCCTCTCGTTTTTAAAGTGGCGGCAAAAAATTTCCCATCACTTCTTATGAATACCATTTCCTTGTAGACTTCTTGCAACGTTTCCGAGCTAGACTTCACAAGCGACCCTTTGGGAAACCTGGAAAGTTTGAGCGACTGGCTGACGTCATTAGGACTTCCCATGTATTACAACGGCCTAAAGGAGGTGGAGTATGATGACATGGGTGCCATGCCTTATATGGAAGAAAAGCACTTTCTGTTCGCAGGCATATCGGATCCAAGGCACATGAGGCGCCTTCTCGCGTCAGTCCAGAGGATGCCTAGGTGACAAGGAATTGGGGACTGTTGTTACTGTCCTCACACCGATATAGAGTCACTTGTCAGAAACCGATTGGTGCTAATCCTGGGAAAGAACATGGTTCATGGAAACTAACGTGCATTGAACCGATTAGAACTTGGAGTTAATGCATGTGACTGGCGCGAAGCGCGGGGAAATTGTCGGTGAAAAACTGTCTTATTACTGTAGGGTAAAGTCACTCACACAAGTGCTGGGCCACTTACAGCGCACTGATACAGTAAAAACCCGGGTGGAAGGACCGATAATAGCCTGAGAAAACAGCCGACATTTGGCGACGCTACCGCTGGTTTCCCCGCCAAATGACGTCTGAGAAACGAGCGCAGAAATTCCATACTGATGACGCGTCACTACCCCGATCTGGATAGTGCTTCTGATTGGTGGTGCCGCGTGGAAAATTTGATTCAACCAAAGAATTTCTGTGCTCGTTTCTCAGACTTCATTTGGCGGGGAAACCAGTGGTAGCATTGCCAAATGTCGGCTGTTTTCTCAGGGTAAAGAACCTACAGTTTTTCAAGTCTGGGAAAATAGGCTCTTGTATTTTGGGGTAGTTATTGGCAATTTAGGCTAAGTAGGGTCATAATTACTTTTGTCTTTGAAGGAGACATTGTTCAGTTGTTTTGCTCACCGGAAAAAACGGTTTGGCTTAGTCCTTAAATGTACAGTATTAATTCACTACAGCTAACTGTACCATGATAAGCCTAACAAGACAGAATTTACAAATGCAATGTTATCTATTAGTATTTTCTTGAAATGTAAAGTCAAGCTCGGTGGTTAAAATGTTTATAATCAGAATTTAGCTGTAACCCACAAATAAGAATCCTCTTGACCGTGTTCGGTTAAAACGGCAAGTTTTAGGCAGCAGGTTCTTTAACAACTAGGTTGTTACACACGGGTTTTTGCTATCCCAAAGTAAGCGTGTACTGCTTCGACATACAGTAAAAGTGGTTAGTTAGGACAAGGAATGGGTCATGTGCAGTAGGTTAGCAAAAATGACTCATTTGATTTCAGTTCTATCGAAAGTGGCTATCCGGTATTCATGCTCGTATTCTCTCATTAATTTCCATCAAGGCAAAGAATCGCATCTCGTGAGATTACGTGGTATACAATGGGGCCACAAAACAAGCATTCGAATAAGGTCTATTGAGTGGACACCCGTGTTACAGACAGCGGTAGTTTTCCTGGGGGATTGTAAAGGAGGCGGGAAAAAATTGCTTCCCGAGAGAAGAGTCGACACGTGGAATTTTCCCGCGCGCATACTTCGCCCACTCTACTATCCCTAATTGACTAATCCCTGTGGAGAACTTTCGTAGTTTACCTCTATTATTTCAAATTGTGTTGAAGCCATTTTGCCTGAATACTGCCAGAATTGGTGACGGAAGAGACAAATTTTACCAATTTTGAAGTTGATCCTCATCCCGGGTTTTCCTGGATCAGCCGAATCGTGGATGGTTTTGCCGAAAATCCTGCTTTCGACAACCAGTCTGTGAAGCAGTACGAAACGTCCGGGAGCAGAACTACGTTGTAGGGTAATGGACGTGTGGCTCAAAATTTCACACACGTACTGTAGCAGAAATTGTAATTAATTAAATCTCAAATTGAAAATGCTAGAGTATTGCAATGAAGAAAGAGAGTCAAAAATATTATTAAAAATAAGTAATTTTTATTGAATGTATTCAAATGCGTTTTACTTGGAATTGTCACGTCGTTATGCGTTTAGCATCACGGCCTGATCGCGTATGTTTTAGAAAACGCGATCCCAGGTTAACAGAAAACTATAATTACACAAGTCAATGGTCTTTTTTGTTGCATTTGATTTACTTTGTTTTTATTCTGATGTCTTTCGTTTACCTGTTGTTTTAATACAAAATACGCTTGTATACAAACTTCAATGTTTTCGGTAGCAAAAAATTTTCTTTTATTATTTTGGCATATTAAACAAAGTTGCTTTGATTTAGGCTGCAACATTTTTTTTGTTTTTGTTTTGTTTTATTTTTTGTTGCGTCTATAATTTTTTAACTCCTGTCACAATGTTAGTGAGATGTTAAATTAAAGAATTTTCGCCACTTTGCTAATTTTTTCTTGTATTCATCTCTCCATCCATAAATCCAGTCGTTTCCCTTGCTCGCTTCATCATCTCTCCTTAAAGGGAACCTCGACTTCAACAAAAAGATAACTTTAAATCACAGGAAATAACTGTTACAGTCAAGTCAATCTAAAATATTTTTAAAGAAAGCGTTTGTATCCGAAAGAAATAACTTTTAGATTTGCCTATTTTTGTTTTCAAATTGCGCGGGCGTCGCCATCTTGAATAATTGTGAAGTGTTACGGTTGCCCTATTGTTATTAAACAAAAGCTCTTTGTGTCAGAGCAACTGTAACACGTCACAATTATTCAAGATGGCGGCGCCCGCGAAATTTGAAAGTGAAAATAAGCGATTTTAAAATTCACTTTTCCTGATATAAACACTTTTTTTAAGGACCAATTTCGAACAAATTTGTTTATCAACATAATTTTATTCGATTTAAACTTATTCTGTAGTAAGAGTGGAGGTTCCCTTTAATCACTCATTTACTTTGTATTTAGTGCCTCCGTGCATTTGTTATCCCTAGAAAATAGCTTTAAAAAGACACTACTGGTTTTCTAGTCTGCTACACAGCCGTTTTTAGAGTCGTCACGCAACGCTCCTCCCGACAGAGGAGCGTTGCGTGACGACACTAAAAACGGCTGTATAGCAGACTACTGGTTTCCTCGCGAAATGACGTCTGAGGAATGACCGCAAAAATACCATACTATGACTTGTCACTACCCGGATCTGGATGGTACCCCTGATTGGTTGTCGCAAATTTCCCACCAAAAGCATTACCTAGATAAGCCTAGACAAGCCTGGTGGTTTCTTGAGGTCTCCTCGCCTAACAACCTGCTGTGTCCTGTAAAATTTGCTGTAAAAAAAAGGCTAATAAATGATGATGATGATAGATCTGGGTAGTGAATTAGGGATACGTCATCAGTATGGAATCTCAGCACTCGTTCATTTCGCGGGGGAACCAGTTGAGAAATGTCAGCTGTTTTCTCAGGCTGTGCCCTTTTTTATGCCTCCTGACAATATTTAGTTTATATTTGACTCTAAAGATCTTTTAACGTGGAAAGATGGGCTAACATTCAACCAGTACTAACCAGCGGTCAGAGCGATCAAGCGGCAACTATTTACTTTCTACCTATATTAAAGTGAACGCGCATTGACTTTCCCGCTGGAATGTTATTTTCTAGGCGGAAAGATCTCCGGTTACAACTGGGGTCCAGCTGAGAGAATCGACACATTGGTTATAGCCTCTTTCGTCGCTCAACGGAAAATGATTGTATATGTTTTGTCGATTAAAGGAATGACACTTTGATTAAAAGGTCAAGTTTGATGCGAAGCCTTTCCGCTCACAAAGTTTTATATCACAGGAAAGACTACATGTGGTTTAATGTTTACTCTTGATTGGTCTTCCACTATCCATTAGAGTTCAAGTGACTATGTTTTCTTGTACAAAGTGAGACACGCGAGTGCACGGAAAGCGGCTGTCGTTTTTTTGCTCTCTCTGACAAATATGAGATTAGTTGTAGTCTAACTATAAAGTACCAAGCTTTTAGAACCTTAGATGCCTCTTGTTCCGGGTTAACTGTGAACAAAGCATATGACAGATCTAGAGCTGTCGTAAGCACTGGGGTCGAGAATGGCAGAGATCAGGAATTATCACTGAACTGCGCTTGCACTTGAATCCGAGCGCACAGTTTGTGGGAGAAAACTGTGAAAATTTTCTAAGCTTACAGAAAGCTCCGCGTATTATTCTTGATGTAACGAGGTTAAGTGAAGTTGTTTCACTTAAAAGTGTTGCCGGGATTCAAACTGCAACTTGGGATGGTGAATGCACGAGTACTCCTCCTCCCTTTGCCGCCTTTCCCTCACAATGCAGACAATGGGTGAAACACGGAACCCTTTTAAGAAAAGGTACGAGTAAGAATATAAAAGTTTTCATTCTTTTCCGTTTTACTGAGTTTGAAAAAAATGTTACCATTTTACAAAAACATATAGCGACGAATCGATTGAAATGTGAGTACATGTGAAAATGTGAAGTTGTTGTGCCTTGAATTTATGCTCGAGTCTGCGGCGGAACAGCATGGGCTGATTCTTTGAATTCGAGTGGTTATGTTCTTTTTTTTTTGCAAGTCACTTTCCGAATATGAGTATATCTTTGGTATCACGATCACTGTGCAAAAAATTTCTCAACACAATGATATCAGAGGACGCCATCTTGAATTTTATTTCCACACGGGTATCGGGAACTGGTTTCAGTGCTTCCTAGTTTACCCCGGTCTCAATTTAAGTTCCGGTTCCGGCTCCGGTTCCGTTTCCGGCTCCGGTTCCGGATTCCGGATTCCTGCTTTTCCATACGCCCGTCTAAAAATATCGCAGTAAGAAATAAGCGTTGACAGGCCAAACACGACTCATAAGCTCGTGATAATGTGAAACGTGACCTTGAGAGTCTGCTTGAACAGTGGTTCTCTTTCTTTTTGAACGCATGAATGAATGAATAAGCACTTTATCACCGAGTACAGCCTGACATTACATTACACACTGATTAAAGTTAAAACTGGTAAACTTCAGAATCTTGTCAGCTGACAGTCGTGCGGTTAGCTGATTTCCTTTGATCGTAGCGGTGAATTTTTCATATTTCAGATATTTTTGAGAGAAGAACTCTCCAGAACGTCGGCTGAGAACATTTTCTGCGACAAGAATCCCAACTGGAATTTTCCCTTTTTACAGTGGACCGGGCGCGACCAATTCTGGACGCAAAATGACATTTTTTAATGTCCGGAGCTTGGAAAAGGCTGAAATGGCAAGATACCAAAAGCGTTTCCTTGACATTTTGATTAAACCCCCATGTCTTCCTAAAATACCAGAAATACACCGTCACCTAGACACTGCC